CCACATAAAAAAGCCCAACATTTTTTTCATTATCTACAGCACCTCTCTCATTATCATCATCCCCAAAAACATAACCCATTTTCTCTCTCTAAAAACCCCTTTCTTTTCTTTCAGCTCACTTTTCTCACACAAATTTGGAAATTAAACCAACAATACAATATATCTATTTTTTTTAATTTTTCTTTTCATGTTTTAGTTATATATACTCTGAGCTGCCATGGAGCTAACCAATTCGACGGTCAAGTCGCCGGAGGCCGACCCGGACACCCCTATCCCGACGCCCGCCAAGCCCCCTCCCTTCACAAACGGCGTGCTCAAGCGCCACGCGCCGCCGCCGCCGCCGCCGCTGCACCTCCACCCCCCGGTGGTCGTCACCTACCGCGAGTGCCTCAAGAACCACGCCGCCGCCCTCGGCGGCCACGCCCTCGACGGTTGCGGCGAGTTCATGCCCTCGCCGGCCTCCAACCCCGCCGACCCCACCTCCCTCCGCTGCGCCGCATGCGGCTGCCACCGCAACTTCCACCGCCGGGAGCCGGAGGACGCGGCGGCGCTCCTCCTCCCGCCGGCCCTGGAGTACCGGCCCCTCCACCGCCACCACCCCCCGCCGCCGGGAGACTCGCCGTCGCCTCCGCCGATCTCGTCGGCGTACTACCCGGCGTCGGCGCCGCGCATGCTGCTGGCCCTGAGCCAGGAAGGCGCGGGAACACCAAATCCGGCGGGGCGGAGAAGGTTCCGGACAAAGTTCACGCAGAAGCAGAAGGAGAAAATGGCGGAGCTGGCGGAGCGCGTGGGGTGGAAAATGCAGAGGAAGGACGATGACGTCATCACGGGTTTTTGCAGAGAGATTGGAGTGGACAAGCTGGTTTTCAAAGTGTGGATGCACAACAACAAGAACACTTTTGCCAAGAACACTACTAACACTACTCAAACTCATCATCAACACACCAACATAAACCTTCTTCACCTTCAAACTGATGATACTGCTCATCAAATTCCGGCAACTAATTCTTCTTCCTCTTGATCTTTCTAATTTTATCTTTGGGATTATTATGGACCATCAGTTTTTTTTTTGTTTTTTTCTTTTTATTATTGTTATTATTTAGATAGCAAGTATTAGAGGAGATTTGCTTAGTTTTTAATTTCTTGATTAATTTTCTGCAATCTTCTAGATTTCATTAATGTTGTTTTAATTTTGTTCAGTGTTTCTTGATTTGACGAATCTTTTTATGACCAAATTTCAGTAGTTCTTCACCACTGTTTGTGGGTAACCTTAGATTGAAGTTATGTTTTAAGGGATTTTGGTAATATCTTGCTTCAGGATTTCTTCTTCTTTTTTCTTTCTCCACTTTCACATGCATGAAATACTAATAATTAAGTAAATTATTTAGTTCTTTGTGAAGAAACAGAGGGAATGGTTTGTCTGAAATGAAGCATCAACAAGCAAGTGTGTTTCATAACTTGTGTAATAAATTATTATTATGCCTTTCCTTCAACTGTGGGCAAAAGAGATTCACACAAATTCATTTCCTCCAAAAATGGTCTTTAATCTAAGAGTACAGTTACCTATGTACATGAATGATATTAAGGAGGTTGTATTTAATTAAGATTTTTAAAGACTATTTTTTAGATTTTAAAAAGTGCATATATTTAATTGAAATTTTTTATAAATTTTTAAAT